CCGCCATGGGCCGGGGGCCGGGCGCGGCGATGCTGCTCCTGGCGCTGGGTAAGGGACCGGCCGCCCCGACGGCGGGACCCCGGGGCGCAGGGACCGGGCCGGATCCGGACCCGCCTCGGTGCCCTCCGGAGGGCGCGACCCGTGCGGGGAGCCGGGCCCGGGGGTGGTAACACGAAGCCCCGGTTGTTTCCAGGGTACCTGGCCCGGCCACTGGCTTCGGAGAGGACGTGCGAAAACATCTACCAAGGCTTCTCGGGCTGCATCTTAAAGCTGGGGGAACGCATGGCTGCCTACAGCAACGGGGCCGGCGACCGGGGCGAGGGGCAGGGGCTGCGCGCTGTCTGTGGGTGAGTAGGCTTTCTCCTTCCTCCAGACACTCGGGTCCTCTCTGCCAGGCTCACCCGCTCCCGTAGGCGCTCGGACACGCAGTCCCACACAGGGAGAGAGGCAGGGGGCCACAAGGACTTCCTGGATGCTCCCCGCGCTCCCCGTCCAAAGCTAAGGCTGTTACCCAGGCAGAAATAGTTTATGTGTTACTATCTGACACCTTTTTGTGGCAGTTCATGGCTCCTGCTGATTGTGGTAATCTCCCCTCTGGGCGCACTGCTCTAACTGCCTCTTCCATAAGCCACTTGGCTGTGACAGCATCTCAGAAAAAGATACTTTAGCATATACCCCCAGGGTCCTGCTTCAGGGACAGCTGATGGAGTTGCCCAAGCTTTACCTGGTCACCTGGGAAGTTATGTAGTTTCATAGATTTCATAGACATTAGGGCTGGAAGGGACCCTGAAGATCATCAAGTTCAGCCCTCTGTCCCAGGGGCAGGAAGTCAGCTGGGGTCAAAGGATCCCAGCAAGATAAGCGTTCAAACATTTCTTAAAGGATGGGGGTGATACCCCGAGTTTGTGGGAGGGGGTGATAGGTACCAGAACTGTCTACAGACAGCAGGAGATGGGCTTTCTTTTGGACAGCGATAAGGGCATTAAAGCACACCAGAGCATGCTAAAGGCCAGTCAACCCAAAGTCAGAGGAGTCAGGCTGCAAACAGTCTTTAATCGGGTGTCAGCAGCTGAAAGGCAGGATGAGCTCAAGACTCCCTGCTTGTACGGTCAGGGCCTAATTCATCCTAGGTGCAAGCCCATTGATTTGAGGCACAGATTGGCTCCTCAGTAAGCAGATGAGCTCTGTAACATCAGTTCAGTGGCCAGGGGCAATCGCCCAATCAGGACTGAAAGGAAAGCAATAAAGGAGATAAAAAATTAAGGCTGCTGGAGTTGAGCACAGCACACATTTGGGGAAAGGTCTGATTAAAAAGCAAATGGGAGGGAGGCAAGGAGGAAATGAAAAGTTTAGAGATAAATGAAGGTGCCTGACAGTTCTACTTGGCCCCAGCAGTGAAAAGGCCAAGGGAGGAATAAGGAAATGTAGAAAGCAATCGAGGGAAAGGTGTATCGCCCTGGAGGAGGAAGTGTCCAGACTAATCAGGAGTGGATGCAGGATGAGGGGGCCAGAATGAAGGCGTTTTTCTTTCGTGCTGGGGTTTGTGAAGGAGAGAAGGGATGGAGAGGGCTCCTGAAAACTGAAGTGAACATCCAGCTGAGGACTGGCCTGTGTGTGGGGCTGGCAAACAGCTGAGAGGGAAGGAAGAGACCAGGGCTGGGCACTGCAGCCTGGCGACTGGGAACAGGAACCTGATGGAGTGCCACAGCCAGAGGATTTGGCTGCAGTCAGCATGGAGTTGGTCTCTATGTACAGGAATCCCAGATCATGGGGCAAAGGTTAGAGTATTACTTGGAAATGGGCAAGGGCATGGACATGGGCACCTCCCACTTTCACCTCTCTCCATGGACCTCTGTATCATTGCAGACATTGAGCTTCCAGCCTCAGAGTCCACTCTGGCTGCACAGGCAGAGAAGACTCATTATTCCCACTTACAGAAGGGAAACTGAGGCACGGGAAAAAAACATGCCCTAGGTCATGAGCCAGGTCAACATCCAATTCTAGCAACAGGGGCTATAGACCTAGCTGTAAAGGGAGGAGGGCAATCCAGGTGCCAGTGTTTTGGGTCTGCATCTCCCTCATTAAGGGCTCTGTCTGGATAAGGGTCCCTGTGCAGCTGATGCCTATGAGTTTGCAAGAGTAGGGTTGTAACCAGAGGTACAGATTGAAATAGGTGTCACAGGGTGTGTGATGGGGTGCACTGTTTTTTCCTCTACTGAAGCAGAAGGTTTCGCCACCCCTTTGTTTGGTCAGTAATGTTCCCAATCGCTTCCCTTCCTCCTTGGCTGGTCCCAGGTGCTCTGGCTTTCATATGGATCTTCCCCAACATTCCCGAATACATGCAACTTGCCCAGGCTATGCTGTAAATTCAAATATTTTCCATGAACATAAGTCACTTCTCTCTCGTGGCTGGGCCCGGTCTGCATTAGAAAAGCTGCACCAGTGTGACAACATTGGTGCAAATCTCCACTTCAACTCAAATGGGTTTTAACTGGTGTGGGATGCAGCTAGACCAGTTCAAGCAAGCACTGAGCCAGTTCAGGTGTGTTTACTTGCAAAAGTTTATATGAGAGTAACCAGAATGATCTTAGTTGAACCAGGAGAGTGTTTTTTAATGTAGATTAGCTCCAAGGAGGAGAGGCATGAGGCTCAAGACAGCAGAACGGGTTGAGCACTGGACTTTCTATTGGGTGGAAAATTCCAGTATTTCAAATTCGTTTTCATTCTGAGCTGGTATATCCTGGGAGAAGATGTCCAGCCAGGGACCCAGCCCCTAGATGAGAATAGAGGTATGAAGCATCTGAATTGCAACTCCCAGTGGGCACTGCGGAGCTCAAGCAGAAACCGATTAATGATGAACTGACCCAAAACAAACCGTTTCAGTTTGCTTGACAAACCAGAATGTTTCCATATGGGTACCCCTGATGTGAAACAGTGTTTAGCTTTGATTTTCCTCCCAGGAACATGGGTGCAGTTTGACCTCGACTGGGCAAAAAAATTCTGATTTGTTTGGAAACTAGTGCTGGCAAACCATTTTGGCAGAAAAATCCTCAACCTGTTGAACACATTCAGGATTTTCCTCAGGATTAGAAGGGGCTGGTATGAAAAGACCCTGAATGGAGATGTTGCAGACACCTGGTTTGAAAGGGGAAAGGCACCACTGCAAATAGTAGACTATGCCCAGGTTTCTTTACAGGGAATTTTAATGGAGACAGTGTCGCATGTTGCAAATCATGGCTCTTTGCCCTCCTAGGCAGCATGCAGAACTGTCCCACATGACAAGAAAACGTGTATGTGTGCGTGTGCATGCACACTTGTACCCCCCTCTGTCCCTCCTCCCCACATGCAT